CGCCTAGGGGGCTTGCCATCTTTCGTCCGTCCTTTCCCCGAGCATCGCTTGATTACGTGCGAGTGTTCTCTAGATGATCCTACATACTCAAAGATGGTCCAGATTGTCTGACGCTGGCCTCGCAGAACAAAACACACACGTGGGAACGATGCCGAGGGGGACCCCGTCCTGATCGAGAAAACCCCGGAATCGACGCCCCGAATCGCGGGGAGCCACCGCTAGCGACGAAGGCTCTCGCTCTTCTACTCCTCGTCCATCCTCCTGCTCCTCCCTACTCCGTCCTCTTGAAGGAGGAGGGTAAGAGGAGAAGAAAAGGAGGAGGAGGAGAAAGAGGAGGAGGAGGGGGAGGAGGAGGAGGAGGAGGAGGAGGAGGAGGAGGAGGAGGAGGGGGGATGAGGAGGGACGGGGAGGCTATGGCTAAGTACTTGAATCACCGCGGTGGCTGCTGAGGAGACAGTGGTGTTATAAGTGGATGCTACGGTGGCTATATCTGGCCTGACCTAGCTTAAAGTGGGTGAGAAGTGCCATCGGTCGCTCAGAGGGGGGTTATGATGCGGAGTTGCCGAACCCACCAAAGCCATTTAGGGCACGTGTAGCCCGCTTGCAAGCTAGGCTTGGCCAGGTATAACCCAGCGTAGCACCACTCAGAAACCCCTGTCCACTTACAAAAAAACACCGCGGCGAGTCAAGTACTCCCCGTCCATCCTCCTGCTCTTCCCTCCTCCGTCCTCCTGAAAGAGGAGGAGGGACGAGGACGGGCAAGGACGATAAGGCTATGGATATGGCTGTCATGCTCAGGTGAATCCACCTGGACGCTACGCGGCCGAAGGCGCACTACTTGAATCACTGAGGTGGGATTCTAAATGGGTGCTTATGTGGCTCATATCTGGCCCACCCGATCTTATGAGTGGGTTACGAGTGCCCCAAGTAGATCCGAGGAGTAGTAGATCTGGGCTAAGTGGGCTCCGCCCACTCAGGGGAGTTATCGAACCCACCAGAGCCACTCAGGGCACCTGTAGCCCGCCTATGAGCTAGGTTTGGCCAGACATAAACCACCATCCACTCATAACCCCCGACCCCCCATCCACTTAGCAACGAATTCAAGCACTGCCCGTCTATCCTCCTGCTCCTCGCTCGTCTCTCCTCCCGGTCCTCCTGGCAGACGAGAGGGGGACGAGGAGGCTACGGCTATGACAGTGGTGATTCGGTGAGTCTACCCAGCAACTGCGCGGCCCGAGGCCAGACTGAACCCTCCTGCACACGGAGGGACGCGGAGGAGGGGCAGCAGAAGAAGCCAACACAAGAACATAAGCATCCACTTTTGGCGCTCCGCGCGGATTGCTGGGATCTTCGACAGACCCCCCCCTCCCTGGCGCGCGGAGCGCGCCAGGGGCGGCGCTGGAGGCGCCGCCGGGGGGGCCCAGCGCGGATCCCAGAAATCTGCGCGGAGCGCCAAAAGTTTGTATTTATGGCGTTTTTCTTCGTCGAGGTTGGACGAGGACGAGGCCCAGGAGCAGCAACAGCAGAAGGACGCGGACGAGGGGGGGGGCACATCACCAGAGAGGGAGCGGGAGAGAGAGATCACCACACCCCGAAGGGCGCACGGAGGGGGAAGCTCATCCTGTACCCGGCGGGCACGGGGACCAGGCCGAGGAACAGCACAAGGACGACGACGACGACGACGGCGACGACGACGACGGCGGCGGCAGCGGCGGCGGCGACGACGACGACGACGACGACAAGCGACGAACGACGAGCGACGAACGACGGACGACGACGAACGACGACGAACGACGACCGTCGACCAACGGCCGACGGCCGACGAAGAACGACGAACGACGAACGACGACGATCGCATAGACGGCGGCGGCGACGACCCCGACGATGAACGACGAACAAAAAACCGACGACGACGACGACGATGACGGCCAACGAACGACGAACGACAACTGACAAACGACGACCACGGACAACAAACACGACGACGCTGAAGACAAACGACGACAAGGACACCAACGGCCAACGATCGCATGGCCTCGGAACTCGATCGTCGAGCCTCGCCGACGACGACCGACGACAAACGACGAACGACGAACCACCGATGAACCACGACGACGATCGACGGCTGGCGGCCGACGACCGCATTGGCCTCGGCCTTCAGGTGCTCCGCCAGGGCACGCTGCTCTGGCGTGAGATCGTACTCCACCAAGAAATCGCTCACGTCCTCTGGAAGAGCTGAGGGGGAACGACGGTTCCTCTGGTGGCAACTCGTGGGGGCATCCCACACCGTCTTGCTGGATCCTGAAAGCAGATGCTAACCGACACCGATCGACTCTCACCGGCACAACATCGGCACCAAGTTGAAGTTCATCGACGCTGAATCGGCGCGCCCTCGTCGATTACCAAACGCCAGCGCACGCTAATGCACTCTGAATAGAGGCCTCGAAGTAAAAACGAACACGCATGTCACATTCATCGGTCAACACCTCCCCCTCCCCCCGGTGTTCAAAGTCGGCTGTGGGTCTGACGAGTTCCACTTCGACCGCAGTCTCCCCTGCGTGTGCCAACTTTGAGTTTGGGGGAGCGGGGGAGTGTCCAAGAAATGTTTTATCCTACCACATCGGGGTTTGCCTTGCTTTCTCCAGGCTGATTCCCACCCCGACCCCCGACGCCAAGATTTTGCATGACGCGACCCCCAGAGGTCTGACCCTTTCCCCAAGATCGGTTCTTCATCCCGAGTCGTTTTTTGACGGTCCCGAGGCCCTGTAAGGGCCCCCAAAAGCTTAAAATGGCGAAAAACCTCCCGTCGTGATTTTTTCACAAAACGACGGGGTCTGGATACTTGTTCCCCCCTACCGTACGGAAGTGGGAGGACACACGAGGCTCCCATGAGCTGCTACCGAACGACACGGTTCCCATACTTTTGCTCCGCCCGCCGCGGCGGCGGCCCCTCCGACACGCCAAAGCGGAGGCCAGTCCACGCGCAACATGCCACAAGAAACCCAATCCTGAGACCCCAGGACGTCCATCGATCTCTTCGTGCGGGATCGTCACGCTCTCCCTCGCAAAACCATTGACGCCCGGGAAACCCAGGGCAGGCCTGAGCACGTGACAACATTGGGTTTCAGCACGCCACGGCAGCGCCCCCAGCAGCGTGGACCCCGCCGCCGGACCAGTAAGACGCCGCCCAGTGGTCCCACTGTGCAAAGATTCTGGCAAGGGAAAATCTAGCTAGAACACAATAGTGAGTGCCAGTTCCTGATCTGGGAGGACTGGGATCGAACCAGAACACCATAGCGAGCCTCACTCCTGGACCACATCGAACCAGAACACCCTGGAGAATCGCACCTCTGGACCATGTCGAACCAAAACACCATCGTGAGCGCTGCCGACAAATTCCGGGCAGATTCCGCGCCGCCAGAATGCCCCATAGTGAGCCGAAGTTCCTGACCAGATCGAGCCAGAACACCGTAGGAAGCGCTGCCGCACCGTCCCGGGCCGCGCCGCTGGGCTGGTGAGGCGCCTCCCCCCGCCCCCCCCCCCGAGGGGGCTCTGAGCGAGGGGGGCGGCCGAGAGGCAGGCGCGTTCCACTACTCGCAAAGTAGCTACTCGCAAATGGCCTGGATCCGCCACGAGGGATCTGCGACACTTTACGTAAGAGGAGGACATGTTTCTTACCGACGTTTGCGAGTGGGTACTCTGCGAGTAGTGGAACGCGCTCGGTGAGTCGAGAGGCAGGAGGGACGCTCAGACGCCGAAGGAGCTCGACGAGGAGCGGCCAGGCGTGCGGCCCTCTGAGCGAGACGCTGCTGCGGAACAGTGCCCTCCAATTTGTCTTTCCGCCACGTGGGGACTCGTGAGCGTCCCAGGTCGTCGGCCGGGCCGCTCCAGACGGCCCCAGGCCCGAGGAGGCCCCTCGGGAGGTTCGCCAGAGGCCCCCAGAGAGGCTCCCAGGAAGCCTCAGGAAGCCACGAGGCGGCCTCAAGAGGCCTCCTTTACTCTTCCTTTTCCTCCTCCTCCTTTACTCCTCCTCCTCTTCCTCCTCCTCCTCCTCCTCCTCCACCTCCTCTTCCTCCTCCTCATCATCCTCCGCCTCGTTCTTCCTCTCATCCTCCTTTGCTTCCTCTCCCAGGTGTTCCCCCAGGGGAATCCACAGTGGCTGCAGAAACACATAGTCCAATAGCTTGACCAGACTTCGGCCCAACGTTTGGCCGCATGGGCGTTTCCAAAAGGCAGGAGGCGACGGTGGTTCGCCGTAGGAGTCGTCGGTCCGCCGCCCCCTGTGCTTGTCACAAGGGTGCCGCGTGCTGTTTGTTACTGTGTTCAACCGTCCCGAAAGGTTCCCAAAGAGTCTCGATTCCAAACGTATGTCACTACAAATACGCCGAGAACGCATGGCTGGGCTGGCCGGACCGGGCTGAAGATCAGCCCAATCTCAGGCTGTGGTGGCTGGACCTTGCCTGCCAGGCCGGGCGGGCGGGCCAGAAAAACAAGACCAGAACATCTGTGCACATGAATTCATGTGCGCGCCCGTGCCAGCAGTCTTGCTGCAACTGATGAAGTGCTCCCTTCCCAGAGAGACTGGAAGTATTGCGTGCGGACCTGTTGCGACGAAGAAAGAACATCAGGAATATGTCGCTAGTTTTGCTTGCGTACTCTGCTGCATGGAAGGAGGCTAGTGTTTGGTTGCATATCTACGTGCAAATGGTTACTGCACGTACATGTGTATGCATACAGCTATGCACATATGTGTATACATGCATACCCGTGAATGGAGTGAATATACATCATATTAATATACATACAACCATGGCTGGAATTCTAGCTTAAAGACATCGCTGTGCGAGGTTCCCGGGCTGCCCCCCTGGTTGTTGGTACCAGTATGCGGTGAAATGCAGGGTAGCAGAGAGCAGATGTATCGTCGCTTTTCATTTTGGTATATACGAGTTCTCGGGACGTCGAACATTACCTTTGCCATTACACGTGTTTCATTTCAAGATGGCGAATGTGTTGGGACGTCGAACATATAATTTGCCAGATCCGATCACACGTCGACTTGGGCGTCCAGACAGGCGTCGAACTGGGCGTCCGATCGGCGATGCAATCAAGGGTCCAATCGGGAGTCCAATCGGGCGCACAGTTGGGCGTCCGATCGGGTGTCCCCGAAAGAAGGCTCGACGAGACCGCCAGAAGCCCTTGGAGGACCCCCAGAGACCTCCATAGGTCACCTTACATGCACGGCCCGCGCCGCGCGGTGCGCTCAGCGCGGTCATCCTCGCGCCGCCGCACCAGATGGGAGGACGACTCTCCAGCCCAAACCCGCAGGCGCCACGCGCGAATAGCTTGACGCCCCCGCGGGCGACCTGGCAGTGCAGAACGGATGCGCGCCATCTGCCAAGAACGGAAGTCGGGCCTCCATCGGCGTGTGACATCGCTTGTGATTGAGAAGAAGTCTTGTGCCAAATCGCCATGCCGACTTCGAACTGAGAAGGCTTCGGCCTCCGATTTGGAGGGTCGTTGGCGAAATTGGCATTTCGACTTCGCGCCGTGCGTGGTTCGACTTGTGATTGGGAAATCTTTCTGGGCGAAATCGCTATTTCGACTTTGAAGCGAATACGGTTCGACTTCTGTTTTGAAGGCAAACGCTGGTGGAACCGCCATTCCGACGTCGAACCCGCAAGGGTTCTAACTGAGATTTGGACGATGTCCTGGGCGGACTCGCCATTTCGACTTTGAAGCGAATAGGTTCCGACTCCTGTGTTGGAGGCAGTCCTGGGCGGAATCCCCATCTCGACTTCACACCCGAAAGGGTTCGAATTGAGAGTTGGACGATGTCCTTGGCGGCATCTCCATTTCGATTTTGAAGCGAATAGGTTCCGACTCCTTGTTGGAGGAAATCCTCGGCGGAATCCACATCTCGACTTCACACCCGAAAGTGTTCGAAGTGATGTTTGGAGGAAATCCTGGGCGGAATCGCCACGTTCGACTTCGAAGCTAGAAGTTTCAACTTCGGTCGTTGTTCTGAGGAAGTCTCAAGCGGAATCGCCGTTCCGACTCGGGCAACCTGTTTGGCCATCCGGACACCCGAAAAATGGGACCTCCCCCTCGAAGAAACGAGTTCGACCGAATGTCGAAATACAGCCGGCCCGAAATCGAAATGGCGATTCCGCCAAATCGTTCTTCGAAGACGACCGAAGTTCGAAGTGAGAACTGCGTGAAAAGGTCTTCGCTGAACAAAGCAGCGAGACGTACCCTGGCAACACTGTACTGGGGTCCTGTCGCCTGACAGGCCCATTTCGGAAGGTCCTCCATTGACTGCGTTGTACCGACGGGGACAGGTCAATGTGACTAGTTCTTGTCCATGGTACTCCTTACTATCCTCATGACTTGGCTATGACCTGGGGTGAGGAGGTTTGAGGGACTCGTATTGTTTATGAAGGGCGGATCAGGATACCGAAGCATGGCTTTCAGTCGTAGACGATTATCGTTCGCATTTGTTTCAATCTCTACCGATCCCGTCGACTGGTGGGGCGTAACGAGACTTCTCTCGCTCTGGCGAAGGATTGGCAGTTGCGTAAGGATGTTCCCACTGTGGTTCAAGCAATTCCTCCTTGGTGATAACGTACTGATTATCGTATGTTCGCGTTATTGGCACTGCCTGGCCCCATTGTGCCTTCGTCATGTCGCTCCTGAAATGGTAAACGTGTCGCATGAAACGAATGCCATACATTTCTGTGAGAAATTCTGGGAGGTGCGTATCTTGAAAATGCGAATACACATCAATGCCTTGAGCATTCAAGAAACGCTTGTCGATATGCATGTCGAGGAGGTAGATATCGTAACCGTGGTGGTTCTGCAACCGGTGCATCAGTTCAGGAGAACACTCGTGCCCTTCTACTACAAGGGTGCGAACATCGAGCTTGCCAGCGGACAGAAGCTGTTCAATGCGAGTTATCCATCTGCCTTCAGGGCCATCCGCATCCATCTTAATCAAATCCCACCTCTAAAGGAGCACAGAACGGCATAAACATCAGTTCTCAGAGCTCCGCGCGGATTCCTTGGATCGGCGCTGGACTCCCCTCCCTGGCGCGCGGAGCGCAACAAGGGCGGCGCCAGAGGCGCCCCCAGGGGGGCCCAGCGCCGATCCGAGAAATCCTCGCGGACCTCCGAGACATTACTCGGTGGCAACTCATGGGAGCCTCCCATACCATCTTGTCGGCTCTTGCGAATCGACCGCGGTCGACGCTAAATCGAGGCTGATCGACGCGGAATCGACGCTAATCGACGCTCAGTCGGTGCTAAGTCGGCGCGATCTCGTCAACTCCCAGACGCGAATCGACGCGAATCGACACTGAAGACGGAGTTCAGAGGGTATACCAGGCTCCCATGACTTGCGGCCGGTACGTTATGCTCATGCAGTCTCGTGCTCTCCGAACCTCGGTCGCTTCAGCAGTATGTCATCCAACGGGATCACGGGCGCCAAAGGAAGGCTCAGGTTCTCTGGGCGCCCCCCTGCTCTCCACCCGTTGTCGGCGGGCATGTTCTTGGGCAGCCACGCGGGCAGCGCCCCGTTCAATGACTCCGAGCCTGCGATGGCGAATCCGGTGATTACCTCTCCCCTGCCCTTCCAGCAGTTCAGGGTGATGGTGTCACGCAGGGCTTGAGCCAAGTCGGCAGCGGGCTCCACGGTATAGACCGGGTTGGCCCCCAAGCTGTACATGTAAGCTGACATCCAGCCATTGTTGCCGCCGAGGTCAATTGCGGCACATTCGCGCGAGTGGCAACCATCAAGAAAAGATGCCAAAGCTGATTTCACATGTTGCTCGGGCTCGAAATTGCGATCTTCCGAAAAAGCTCGGCAGAAGTCACGATCTTTATAAAAATCACATGTTTTTGATGCCGTCTCCATAACAAGCCGAATAGGTGGAAATGGGAATCGTTTGGGCATTAAGTAGCTTCTTTCGTAGATCTCACCCGAATCGCAATATTTAGTTGTCTCGTCTGGTTGCTTGGACCCATCCACGGCCCGTCCATGTATGAGCAATGCTGAGGCATGCTGAAGGGCAACAGTGTAACTCACAACGCTCAGAAGTGTTAAAGTTCGGCGAACCATGGATGCACTCCAACGTCCAAGTTTTTCAGTGGCGCCGAGATCTCAGAAATTGGGCCAGGGCGGCCCTGGAGCCAGAATGACT